TGATTTAGTAAGTTTTATTTTATGTGGTGGTATTGACAAATAATTCAGACCCACTGGTAAAGCTCTAAACAGGACCAACTTACATTTATTATTAAATCATGTTGTTTCAATCAATACATAATAAACTAAAAGCAACATTTAGTTAGGAAAGAAAAAAATGTTACTTTATTTTTTTTGTGTAGCATTATAACTTTTGTAAAACATAGTGCTTTTAAATGTAATTTTGTATACTTGTTTTATGCTTTCATAGGATAAAGGAGAAAAAGAGCCCAGAAATAATTTTTTTTAAAAAAGAAAAACTTATTTTTATTAAATGCTTGAAAATATACTACAATATTTCATAATTAGGTCAGGTAAATGGATGTGGTCTTTTAAAAGAGTAAAAAAAGACAAAAGAAAATGGAGCAAAAGATACCAGAACTTCAAAATTCGTATCTGTCAATAGTAATTTTGAGTTTTTTATTCCCCCCGGTTAGAACAAACATTGGAACTGAGACTACAGTGCTTCTCTGCCATGATGTTTTAGCTCTATCCCTCAACATTCACACTACAGGCAAAGAGTAAAACAATTTAACTCTTGATTGGCACCAGTTTTTGTATTAGTTATCTATTCCTATAAGACAATCTACCTCAAAACTTAGTAGCTTATAGGTTATAACATGCCCATTTTTCCTATTTTAGGATTATCTGGATTAGCTGAGTACGTTGTTTTGCTTTGTTATATATATATATAACAAAGTTTTATATATATATAACAAAGTTTTATATATATATAACAAAGTTTTATATATATATATAACTTCAGGGCAATATTTATATATATATATAAACTGTCTCAAGTGTGTGGGTGTCTGGGGTCAACTGGTATGTTAGTGATGGTCATAATGTCTTGGCCTCACTCACGTTTCTGGCAATGAGCATGAAGTTAACTAGAGCACTTTAACTTTGCTGTACACAGTTTCCCACACTTTTGCAGGCTTGCGTAGGCTCAAGTTTCAAAGTGGACAAGCACTTTTCAAATCTCTGTTCATGTTACCTTTTTTATTGTTCCATTCCCCAAAGCAAGTCACACAGCCAAGATTTGGGTTGGTAAGTAAGGGGCATACCCAAGGGTAGTAGAAACAAAGAGGGGAAGAGTCTGTGACTCTTTTCAATCTATACTTTGAAAGAAGAAAACATGTATACTAAATAGTAGAATAGACACAGTTGACAGATATAACAGAGAATTATGCCAGGAAGAGTGATAGGGGATGCTTTTCATGTGGAGTGACCTGAAAAGGCTTCTTTCAGACCTGAATTCCTTTATTCTATTTTCAAAGTCTTTTCTCAGCTTTCTTATAGATTCTGTGAGCTACCGGGTATATTCCCAATAAGACTTTTTGCTTTTATTAGCCAGACTCCTTTTCTATGGTTTCCATAAAGAATTCTGACTGGTACTATCTGGAGTTGGCCAGACTGCAAGACCTGGAGACACAGTCCTCCACAAGACTGCCCTCATTTTTGGCATGAACTGCAAATTCAAGTTCCCCAAGCCGCCTTCACTTGCAGTAATTCACTAGGACTAACAGAATACATCAAAAGTGGTTATACCCATGGTTATGGTTTGTTACAGGGAAGAGAGATATTAAAATCAGCCAAAGGAAGAGACACATAGGGCAGAGTCTGGGAGAGTTCAGACACAAAGCTTTTGTTGTCCTCAAGGCACATTAGTCTACCCATGTTGATGTATCACAGCATGCGTGGAATATTGTCAACCCAGAAAGTTCACTCGAGCTTTGGAGTCTGGAGTTCATATTGGGGATTCATTAAGTAGGCATGATTGATTGGTTAATTTTCCCACATGGTCAGTCCCCACTCTCTGGTGCCCTAGGAGTCCATGTGATATCTTGTGATCTGAGAGGCCCTCCCTGCATCATCTTGTAGCATAAAGTATCAGATTTTCAAATGTGGTTCCAGGGGCTTATCATGAAAAATAAAGATCATTCAATCACTCTGGAAATTCCAAGGGTTTTGAAGTTAACCCTAGGAACCAGGGATACCTGCCAGTCCTCTCTATGGACAAGACCAAATTCTTTACTACACAGGCACAAATGTATACATGTTTAAAAAATTATATGCAACTAATGAATCATTGAATATTATATCAAAACTAATGATGTACTATATGTTGGCTAATTGAATTTAAATTTAAAAAAATTAAAACAAGTACCATATTCTTACTTTAGTGAATTTAACAATAAATATTCAAAGAAGAAAACTAAAATCATCCTATATTTCAATACCTGCATACAATCACCAGCTAAACTTTTTTTTTTTTCCCCTAGGATTTTGAAATCAGATGGTGTATGCGGCTTCATGTTCTGCTTGTGACACAGGCATGAATGGACTTGCTCAGACTCCATTTTACCCTGTCTTCATTGGCAGTGGTTGGAAAGCTCAAAACTACATTTGTGAGACTCCTTTGCAGTAAAGGTTTCGAGTTAAGATACAATCATGTGAAATTTGGAATTCAGAGATGACATGGAGGTCCTTTTCTGCAGCTATGTTAGCCGAGAAGCGATTCTGAAAATCACGAATATTTGCGGCACTAGACTCCAGGTTCTAGTGCCTGGTAACCAGCCTCACAGATGTGAGGCCATCGTGAAAGCAACAGTGAGAGAGGCAGTAAGGAGCGCTGACTTCCTTTGTCTGCCGCAGATTCTGTGCCGGGATGGTAAAACCAAAAAACGCTGGAGGGTTTACGGACATCGAATCTGTTATCATTTAAAAATAATTTTGTAAGCACCTAATTCCTAGTACTAAATCCTTTCTGTATCATGTCCTTGGAGTGGTTTCTATTTCCAGCTCTGAAACTTGAGTGAAAGCATTTGTAAGTTTTTTTTTTTTTTTTTTTTTTTTGAGTATACTTGATGACACACAATGTTACATTACTTTCAGGTACACAACATAGTGATTTGACAACTCTATATGTTATGCCATGTTCACCACAAGCGTAACTACTGTCTGCCACCCTACAACGCTATCACAATACCATTGACTATATTCCCTATGCTGTGCCTTTTATTCCTGTGACTTATTCCATAACTGGAAGCCTGTATCTCCCACTCCTCTTCACCCGTTTTGCTCTCCCCACCTACCCTCCTCCAATAATCAGTTTGTTCTTCATCTTTACGGGTCTTTTTTGTTTGTTATTCATTTGTTTATTAAATTCCACATATAAGTGAAATCATATGATAAAAATTATAAATGTTTTTTCCAATCATTAAAATATTCTTGAGAAAAATGATTTTAAATACCAACTTAAAAGATCCTTCTATGCTGTTCATCTCTCTTCAGGAACTAACTTCTAGAATCAATTTAGAAAATTTTAAAGAATTTTATTCATTTATTTCTTCTGGAATCCTGGTTACCAGGATTGGTTTTTTTTTTTTGTTGTTGTTGTTGTTTTTAAAGAATTGTATATATTTAAACTTTATACATAATACTTAGAATACTTAGAAAAAGTTTGGATTTTCTGGTTTTTCCTACAAAAACTCTGGAATAAATCAAGTAATAGAAACATACTTATATTTTTCAAATTTTCTATGATATCATTTATCATTTATCTTTGTTTAAGCAAGCAAACCTTGAGAAAGATGTGAAGGATATTGCCATGAAATTGTGCTCTCATAAACTACTCAATTTCCGTAAGTTTTATTTTAGTTATCCACATACTATAAGTACAAAAATTTTCTTAATAAATTTTGTAATTAGGGGCGCCTGGGTGGCTCAGTTGGTTAAGCGACTGCCTTCGGCTCAGGTCATGGTCCTGGAGTCCCGGGATCAAGTCCCGCATCGGGCTCCCTGCTCAGCAGGGAGTCTGCTTCTCCCTCTGACCCTCCTGCCTCTCATGCTCTCTCTCATTCTCTCTCTCTCAAATAAAAAAATAAAAAAATAATAAAATAAAATAAATAAATAAATTTTGTAATTATTATTATTCAGTACTCTACATCTGACCTATTTATGCCTACCAGATCTATAAAGATCAAGAAGATTGGTTTTCAAATCTTGGACTATCTACCTGCATCTGTCACTTTCTCCTCATATTTGTAGATCATAGACATATAGGTAGATAAATATAAAATTTCCATATAAATAAGAGATGAATATAAAAATGGATAATTTTATTTTCTCGAACTCTGCATTTTTATAGAGCATAGAACACATCCAGCCACATATTAGTATTTCAACTTTTCAATATTTCCTGTTTTAAAATTTGACCAGAATCCACACAGTACAAAGTTTCTGTTATTTCAAGTCTTATAATAAAAAAAAGTATTGAAAAGCTCCAGTTGAGACATGTTGAAAGAAAAATGTGTTGTCAATTCTTCAAATTTTATTTTATTTTTTATTTTTATTTTTTTTTAAAGATTTTATTTATTTGACAGAGCACAAGCAGAAGGAGAGAGAGGGAGAAGCAGGCTCCCTGCTGAGCAAGGAGCCTGATGTGGGACTCGATTCCAAGACCCTGGGATCATGACCTGGGCCGAAGGCAGCCGCTTAACTGACTGAGCCACCCAGGCGTCCCAATTCTTCAAATTTTAAATTAACAGCAGATACTTTAATCACAGTTGCCAATAAGTATAAAACCATCTTTTTCTCCAAAAAGTCTGTTAATAAGAGTGAACTAGAACAAGATATGTGGGAAAACAATTAAAAAATGTTTTGTTTGCTTTTTAACATAATTTTCAGAACAATGAATTCTATTTTATTATTTGGGTTCCCATAACTCTGGCCTTAGATTATACAATTAAAATAGTTGCTTGAACCAGTCTTAAAATGAGCCTTCACATTTATGTTTTCTTTTTTTTTTTTTAATTTTTACGTTCATTTGCCATACTTCCATTCTATCTTGCCTCATCTTTTTTTTTTTTTCTCTTTTTTTAAGAGACAGAAGGAGAACAGGAGCAGGGGAGGGGCAGAGGGAGAATCTCAAGCAGACTCCCCGCTGAGCATGGAGACTGACACAAGGCTCTATCTCATAACCCTGTGATCATGACCTGAGCTGAAATCCAGAGTTGGACTTAACCGACGGAGACACCCAGGTACCTCTGCCTCATCTTATACTTCATCCCTATCCATTCCATTTCTGTTTCCCACTCAACCTGTATTCTCTCTTGACCAATGCTTGTATCCCATCCTCATTTCCCTAAAATATTCTTTCTAACTTTAATGTATTCATACACTTCTTAATGTGCCAAATGCTGTTCTGTTTTACATACATTAATTCATTTAATCCTCAAAGCAACTCTTTAAGTTAGATGTTATTGTTAAACTTACTTTATTTTTTAAAATTTTTATTTTTTAATTTACTTTGAGAGAGAGAGAGCACATGTGAGCAAAAGCAGGGGGAGGACCAGAGGGAGAAGCAGACTACCCACTGAGCAGGGAGCCCCATGTGGGACTGGATCCCAGGACCCTGAGATCATGACCTGAGCCAAAGGCAGACGCTTAACTACCCAGGCACCCTGTTAAACTTATTTTAAAGACGAGTAAACTGACGCTCAGATAAGTGAATTTCCAAAGACCATGCAGCTGGCAAGTGGGAGAGCCAGGTTTGGAAGTCATGCTCTCAGGTTCAGATTCTGACTTTGCTCCTATGAGGACACATCCCTCAAAGCCCGGCCTAGAAGTTACAGAGCAATGTGTCAGTCTTAGGCTCTTCCTGGCTTCCCGTATGCAGGTCATTGTTCTACACATTCACTCAGTGAAACCTAAACCTAACAATGGGTGTGCTGCTTGCTAAATGGCAGGCTTGGTTGGGCTGATGACTTAGCTCTAGTAGTGCTCAAATCTGCTGGGGGCGGGGAGTGGTTAGGTATTATTTTCTTGTCAACAAATGAGAACATGGAAGCAAATATAAATTATTACTTTGCACATTTATAAACATTGGCTCTTGGATTCACACATATATATGGCTGACTCCAAAGTGTCTATCTTTAACCTCTAATCTCTAAAGCAAAAACACCTTTTCTTTTGAAGCCCAAACCATTCATATTCACCAGCTTCTTCTCCCTTCTCACTAACATTACAATAATCCCATCTTCCTGCTTCAAAGTTTTCCTTCCAGACTGATTCACTGCAAAGATTTCAGCCATTCGCTCTAACTTTGTTTATTTTACTGCCCCCCCATAAAGCTAACACTTATGACTATGTTTTCGATCTCATATATCCATTTATTATCAAGTAGTTGAGAATATGATAGTATGCACTGAGCATTGAGAATATAAATGTGACCAAGAGAGATGTGCCTGATGCCCTCATAGGGCTCACAGTGGGAGTATAAACCAATATGTAGACTTCTATTATACACAATGATAAGTCCAGTACCAAGTAGCTCCTGTAACATTCCCATCAATTTTCCCTTCATTTCTTATATCTTCAATGTATATTTTCAGTACCTATATTTTCTGTAAACTATTTACTGTAGTTTATAAATATGTCCAGGTCTTCTTGTACTATAAAGACAGAACCAAAATTTATCCTCAGCTTTGCTATAGTACTGAGCTCTTGTCCTCTCTCCTCTTCTTCACCAAATATTTTCAAGAATAGACTAATGACATTAAATTAACTTCTTTGTCATCTACTCATTTCTTGAATCCTCTGGCTTGTATTACAACTACTCTATTGACATTTCAGGATGATTTTGCATTTTGGTAAGGCTCTTGAAAAGAGTTTCCTTTTTATGAACATATGTATAATGTATCTTTTCCATAGTATAAGACCCATACTAAAGTTTATATTGCCCAAAGAACAACTATACTTCCTCCCCATCAGGAAGTATAGTCCATCAGGTCACAAGGAGTCAATTATTTTTTGCTCATTTGAGGGCATCTTCTTCCATGAAAACTCCAGAGTTAAATGCACTAGTTCATTAAAATAACTAGTTCATTAAAATAACTAAGGCATCCTTTGCATCAGTTACAATTTTCAACTCTCTTTTATGTTACAATTCAATAGTAACTTTTTAGCTTCTTTTAAGTGCTTTTAGATTTTCAATTTTAATTCTCTGTATGTATGCAAATATACTGTGTCCTTTTTAGCCATGTATCCAGTCCCCAAGAGAAGTCCTGGGAAACTCACCCAACCTCACTTTCCCTCACCTTTCAATACAGTCCACAGCCTTAGTTACATCCTGTCATCAGTCAATCCCAGCAGCTGTTTGCATCAGGTAGGAGAAGAAGCTTGGTGTTGGGAATACAAGGAAAGGAGCCAAGTCACAATGAGTTTACCATGTTTCCAGAATCCCCTCCTTCAGGAAAGTTATCATCTCTACTGTTATCACCACATTACATAGAGATTTAAACTCGAATTTATCCTACCAGCTATCTTATGCATACTGTCACTTTTAATTCTCATAATAGTGTGTATTTTCCTTTAACAACAGAAAAAAGCAAAGTTTAGAGAAGTTAAATAATTTGTTCAATCACACATCTGTAAAGTGGCATCGATGACATTCAAACCATTTTGGTCTGATCCCAATTTCTGTTATTTAGCCACCATGTTATTTTGCTCCCTCATTTGTAATGTAAATGAAAATAGAATGGAAGAACTGAGTGGATTAATAAAAACATAAAATTTGATCTCTTGAAAGCCACTGCAGATTTTATAAAATACTGGAATGAGTGTCCTTTAGTTGCCATCCTCCTGCTCTCTCAAAATCACTGACATTTGCCTTTGGCTCCTCCTTCACTTCCACCATCTAGTCCCCAAGTCCTTAAGATTTAATGACCTTATACCCCCTATTCATCTGCCCATTAGCATTCCATGGATTATGCCTTAGCTTACAACCCCCTGTATGACTTCAGTATCTTCTCAACTATTTCTGATCTCTGCTCATACTATGTTGACAAGTTAGTTCCTGCTTCCTGGATAGCTTTACCTATGCTACTTTTATGATTAAAAACGGTCATTGGCTCTTCATTTTCTGTGGGATAGAGTCCAAACTCTTTCCCTGATATGCAAATTTTTTTGTGATCTGACTGCACTTCATGATTCAGTTTCCCTGCTCACTTCCCTGCACCTCTCCTGTTTTCTACCTATAGGAGAGGAAAAATATTTTTCCTTTTCTCCTTCTATGTTTTTAGCTGAGACTCCAGTAATAACAGATTAACAAGAAAAATAAATTTATTAACATGTAATCTCATGTATACATGGGAGATACCCAGAGAAAAATTAGTAACTTCCTGAGGTGGCTTAGAATTCAGACTTAACAATCATCTTAGTAGAGAAAGGGATGGCAGGGTGGGAGGTGTATGTTTCTTAGGATAGAGTAAATGATTTTTAGGAAAGATGAGTAGGCCCCAGAAGAAAAATGGGGGGATATGATAGTTTGTGACAGAGTCTGATTGGGTGTGGTGTCGCTTCTAGTCTCTCCTATAATGAGTCAGTCTTCCCTGGTTGATGAAACTCCACAGAGGACATTTATGACAACTGAGTTCTTTTTTGGGGATCTGTCTTTCTGCAGATAAGGGGAGTTCAGAGAAAGCCTCTCCCTGTATTTGCTGTTTTTCAAGTGCCTAAGCTCAAAATAATAAATTTATCAAAGTGGTTTATTTGTGGGTAGTGTATTCTATTACCCTTCACACCAACCACTACTCATTAGTCAATAAATAGATCCTGCAGTTTCCTGTTCCCCTGCCTTTCCTAGTTGTATTTCGTGTACCTCCGCTCACCCATGTTTCTTGCAAGGTCCAGTTCTCAAATGTCACATTATCCAGGAAAGAGTCTTTGTCTTCCTACCCCTCAGTTTTAGCCAGCTGTAACCAAACCCACTAGTTTGTGCTTATCTAGTTATTGCCCACTATTAGCAAAATCTTGTGAACCCATTTGTCCTGGTGTTGGTGGATAATTGCTTCATTACTTTCCTTTATAGAAGATAACCTATGTGTGTGAAAATCACATATTTTATATGAAAATCAAAATTGGGGTCTTAGACACAACGATAAATCTCTGCCTGTTGTATGTTCAATTATGCTCATGGAAATTTGGATTTCCTAGATAAAAATTATACAGATTAAAAATAGATTGTTCAAATAAACAAATTTTAGGGAAAATGGGATTTAGTTTTTGCATCCTGCTACATTAGATTGTCTTTATGTATTTTTGATTGAGCAAATTAGCATAAGTAGGTATCTTTACACAAAACTATTTGATGCACCTGTGATCAAACATTCAACAGAATTCATCTCAGAAAAATGAAGATGATTTGATGTATACCCTATTATATTCATATTTTATGAACACTTCATAAGCGAATACAAAGCAGTCACATAGACTACAAATAACATCTTCACATTTAGCCACACAAAGTACAATCATATAGTTATGCTGAAAATGTCTTGAGACAATTTAGAAACATTCAGGGTTTATTAACATAATGGATTTTCTTCATTTGTATTCATAGGATTCCTTAGTTTTTGAATGCTTCTGCTTACACCTATTTATACAATAGTCTGGTAAGGTAGGTGAGGTATTACTAACTACCTAGTAAAAATAAGACAATGCAAATCCGAACTTATTACAATTCTCTTAAGTTAGCATTAAAATGAACACTAAATATCCCTAATGTTTAGTGTCTTATTTAAACCGTTTGACTACAGTCTCAATTAGTGTATATTCTCATAAATGGTGCTTATAGATTGTTTTTTTAATGTCACTGTGTTTCTATTCAAAGATAAAGAAATACTGATTTCAAAGTTTCAGAGATTTTAAAACAAAAAGTTCTTTGAGTTGAAAAGTTAATTTAATAAGCAATAAAAATCTCAAGTTTTAATTTAATTTAATTCTACTTCCATTTTTTAAAATCAATTTCACATTAACAAATGTCTTCTAAATTAAAAGACTTAAAAATATTTTTTCTTCAGAGATAAATTTTGCTTTAAAAGAATTTTGTCTTTAAATGGTCTTGAAACAGATACCTGAACAGAGGGTAAAAAAAAAAAGAGATTCTCCTTTTGTTGTATTAGAAAAGGGAAACTATTATAAAATATCATATAAATTTAACAGTGACTGTTTACCATCAAAACATTTCTAGTACCATTGA